TCACGTCGTAATATACGTCATCCACCGCGACAATACATTAAATATGAACTGGGAAACCTTGTGTTGTTGAGAGCCAATCCTATTTCGTCGGCAATCAAAGGGGTAACAAAGAAATTTCTTCTATTGTTTGAGGATCCTTTTATAATTGAAAAAATTATTAGTTGTGATACCTATATCCTGGCTGATCCGAATTCTCTCAAAGAAAGAGTTCCTTTCATGCAATTCATTTTTAAAAAATCCATACCCCAGTAGGAACTACAGAAAATTAGCTTCCATCTCAGTATGATTTATAATCTATCAACAATTATTATAGAACTCTAACCAGAATTGGAAGGGTTGCGCCTCTCGACTAGAGATGTCAGTAGGAGAATCAAAAGGTACGAAAATCTTTAGTTTTGAGAGTTATAAAAAACCGCCAACTCTGAAAACTCGATCAGGAATGAGATTAGGAGTTCTTTTGGTTCATTGAATATATAATGTTAAAAACCTTAGGGTGTGTAAACCTAGATATTTTTATCAAAATATTAATTTGTTATCTGATTCTAGGTGAGTCTAGTCTGTTTAAATATTGTTTCTATTCCATTAACGAAAAGTTCTATTGTTCTAGCTCTGTTATATTCAAACAAACCCAAGAATAAACTTTGTTTTTGAATATCTGAATTCTGGTATCTCTCTGTTGAACCCACCTTCAACCTAAACCCAGCGAGACTTTAAAAAGTGCCTTCTTCTAAAGTTCCTCTACAACCTTGTACATCTTTCAAATTCTGAGTGTTGCCGTTAACAGGAAGACGACCACACAAGTAAAACTCCTAAAGTTTTTTGAAATTTATTTTTTTTTAACCAAAATATAATATTTCTCTTTCATATTCCCGAAACAAATGTTTCTTCTTTTATTTTTCTGGTATTATTTTATGTATCGCCTTGTTATGATCTTAAATATATTTATGGGCCGCCACTGGAAAGTTTCGCTCTGCTTTCCTCCCGTCCCGCGTCCAGAAACTGAATGGTGCGCATTCAATATTCAGGCACAAGTATAATGCTAAATGAACTAGCATTATATTTGTGATTCAGGCAGGTTTATTTTTTCGCAAAGCGACTAGCCCGACTAGCGAATAACAACTGACACACTGACCATTCCTTGTTTGTCTCAATTTATAATCTATCTACAGATGAAAGGGCCAACTAATAGTGGGTATAAATAACTATTTTAGAGTCTGATTTATTAAATATTTAAAACATGAATGGTATAAAGCAGACCGTCGTGGATCGAGGTACAAACATATGAAAAGAAAACTGATTTTTACACCAATATATAGATTCCCGATTTTTTTATTAACTCAAAACTTCAGGTTTCCAACTTCAAAACCTACGAAATTCGGTACAATCTTTGAATCCCTATTTTTCCCCCTTGGATTGAAAATTACTGATTCGCTTCAGATACAAAGAATCTATCTGTATACTTCAAGATTCTAGGTTCGGTAGTTTCTGTTGTAATTTAATATAAGAGCATGCAACAGCTAGTAATTTATATTTTTTCTGTAAAAAACCAGTAACTGAAAAAATATGCCAACTGCTCAGTACTGAATAGTTTCGAGAAACGAATTATGTTATCTATAAAAAAAATCGCAAAACTAACACTACCCTCAACAACGTCTGCCCCCACGCGTTCGCTTGTGTTCTCGGCGAAAGGCTTCTTTGCTTAGACCGCCCTTCTACCCCCGCACATCGGCCCCCGTCATCTTACAGTAGACGCGACGCTTAACGGCTTACTGCGTTGCGTCAATTTAATCTTATCATGATACCTTTTAAACGATTCGTTCAAATTACTTAGTCTAAATGACAAAGATTGTCTATATTGAATACTTAAAATGACAATTGTATCAATTTTTATAAGAATTCAACAGATATTCTAGAATGTGCTGTGTAAAGAAAGTATCCAATTTAATTGTATTTATGGCTCAGTATTTTGCATATAGTGGCTACCACATAATAGGTACTTATATGCTATCGCGGACTTTTATTTAGAACTATTCAAGATAAACAATCTAATGGTACATTATCTTCATCTAACTCCAACTTTATAGGCAGCGCACGCCAAGATAGCTCTCAGGCAGCAAGAATTTTTCCGAGTTACTTACTACTTATCGTTATACTTATATTATGACCAAAATCACACAAAACCTTTGTAAATTGTAGCATATATCTTATTCTTATGTATAAGCCGTATTTATATAAAGTTTCATCTAAATCCGTTCAGTCGTTCAGGCGTGAAAGAGCCACAAACATACATACATACATCCTCACAAACTTTCACATTAATAATAGTATAGATAGATTGTATATAGATGGATAGATACAGCAATTTCGTGATCAGGTACATTAAGGGAAAGTGAGGAATAAAATGATCACCATTATCCTCATCCCTTCGGATAATGGTGCGCGAAGGGATGGGAAGAGTGCGCGCAGAATGGCGAAGAGCGCTGTACTTGGCGCGTAATTGAAATTGTCATGATGCGCCCAATTCTCACAGCGCACATTTCTCCCGCGTCCTCTTGAACTTTCCACTTGAAAAAAAGGGTTAGTTAACAAAACCTTCCGAGAGAAAAATTGAGGTACAATATTTTTGCTGGTAAATTATTACTCATTCTACTTTCCAACATTTTCCTAAATATTCATATGTAATGGGTTGAAAAAATATTGTTTATTGATGAACCCGAATAGGTCGAAGCGTGCGCGAGACTATTGAAACTATAGTCCTAAAGTTTTCGGAGCTGAAACTTTTCTTTAGTAACTTTTCTGCTCTTTGGGGATTTTGTTTTCAAAGTTTGTGATATTGGCAAATATTGAATCCTTTTTTTGGTTCAACTCAATTGTTTACAATATTATTACAATACAATTACAATATCATTACTACACCAAAGGTTACAAACAAGTAAATTGTTTATAACTTTAAAACAATTTTTTTGTATAACTTGGCTCGCAATCGTATAACACTTTGGGTGAAATTATGGCAATGACACTTGCCATAATTTTGTGTGAAGTCGAACTGAAAGTTTGTGATGGTACCTACCATACCTGCATAAACCTATTTAAATTTTAAAAATAATTCAATTCTATTTTGAGATGGATAAAATTTTCATTCGGATATGACCTATTTAGTTACACGAAAAATTGTGTACCTAAATAATTGGTTGCAAATCAAATTTCCTACAAATTTGGTCAATATTAATTTTTTTCGTAGGATTGATGTTTTTCTATTTATAGCCGAGAATAGGAGGGGGTAAATCTCATCATTCTATTATCACTTTTATTTTCATTTAAACGAGAAAAATTGTGATTAACAAAGTTGTGAAGAACTAAGTTTCCTACAATTATGATCCCCATCAATTTTTACGTAGGATTGATAATTTTCGATTCACCTCATCTTTTCGGGCATACATCGAAAATAAATGATTATGAGAAAAAAATTGATAGGAACCAAAATTATAGGAAATTTAATTGTATACAACTTTGTTCATTGCAATTTTTCCCGTAAGATTCGAAATAAACGTGATAATACAATGATAGCATTTTACCCCCTCCTTTTCTCCTACAAAAATTCATAGGAACCAAAATTGTAGAAAATTCGATTTCAAACAACTTTATTCATTACAACTCTTCTCGTAAAATTGAAAATAAACGAGTTGTTCAATAAAAAATATTCACTCCCTTTTTTCGAATGTAAATCGAAAAATATCGATCCTAAGAAAAAATGTATGGGAATCAAAATTGTAGGAAATTTAATTTTGAACAACTTTTTTAATGACTATTTTTCGTGTAAAATTGAAAATAAATGAGTTATTCAATAAATAAAAATCAACCCGTAACAGGTCTGACACCGAAAAATTCCGAAAGAAAATTGCCACTAAAAATGTTTGCGTTGTCAAATCCTAATTCGACTCAGTAATAATTGAGATGAACATAATCATGTCTCAGAAAGATGAGCAACTCCTCATTACGACGCGACGGTTTGATTCTAAAGTGGCTATAGTCGACAATTGAACAAACCAGCGGACAGGCAAACGTGGTTTCGAAGAATGGCCTGCTAGGTCACCTGATATGAAGATAAATAGATTTCTTGTGGGGATTAATGGAATCTATGAAAGCATACATTATACTACATCAGTCTATTCTATAGCTCATGGATATAATAAGGGGCGCTCCTAACGAAATTACCCCTGAAACATTACCTACATAATGTAAGAAATGAATTTGTAAACAATCGTCAATATTGTCAGAAAGTGAAAGTTGCACACTTTGAACAATTATTGGGATATAAATTATACCTTTTCACGTGAATTTTGCCCGACCTTGATAGCTATCTTCTCACGTTCAAAAGGTTGAGGACTCCTTTTTATGTTCACCTAGGTGGATAATGTTATAATACTATGAAATAACAGAAGCTGCCTGATGCCATTTAATATTATTTAGTGATTATTATTGTTTTGGAATATTGAGTACCTAATTTAAAAGATGTTTCCAAATAAATTCTTGCATTCCGTGCCAAATTTGCTAATTTGGTTCCAAAATACGAGTAAAAGCTAGACTTTGTTTTCACTCAACAGACAAACCGTTGTTGCTTGTTTTGCTATTCCAATATCTTTAAATAATCTTATTATTATATACTTTCGTCTCCGAGTTATAAAAAATACCGACAATATTTCATACCTTGTTTACCATATCATGAGAGGTACTTTGGCCATTTTCAACAAAATCTCTACATAAATCATATATCACAAAAGAGTTGGATTTGCATGAAACACATTTCTTAGAATCTGAGGTACTTAGTAACTTCTGTCTCAAAAATGCGCTTTGAATATTCTCCAGACCAATAAAAAAATCTCCCGCTCAAACAGCGTCTCTTTTCTTCCATACGTTGGAGAAGGGATCGTTAGGGAGAACGATCTCCGTCAGATCTGGTTCAGAATCTTCAGATCTCAGTCAAACTTGTTCAGTGTAGGGTGTATCTTGAGCGGAATTGTTAATAATTATAAAAATGGTGATTTTTTCAAAAGAAGAGTTTGAAGATTGCACTGTTTCAAGGAAGAGAAGTGAACTCACGAAACGTCTCATCGAATTAACAAAAAAGAACGGTTACGAAATTATTCAAACAAATGGGCAACGAGTATATGCACCGCCTGCATCAAGAAACATTCGGCCACCTCCGAAAGGGTGCGAGATTTTCATCGGAAAATTGCACAAAAATATATTTGAAGATGAACTTATACCTCTTTTTGAAAAAATTGGACCTCTATACAAGTTCAGACTCATGTTGGATTTTACAGAGAACACCCGAGGATATGCTTTCGCAACATATTTTAGACCCCAGGACGCCAATAAAGCTGTTGCTAAGCTGAATAATTACGAGATGAGACCAAAATTGCACATAGGCGTGTACAAGTCAGTTGACAACTGCCGCTTATTTATTGGAAATTTACCGGAAGACAAGACAAAAGAAGACGTAGTAGAAATGCTGAGCAAATACGTGGATGGTATAACTAATGTGATTATGTACCCTAATTACGAAAAACCTTGGCTGAGTAGAGGTTTCGTTTTCGTAGAATTTCAAACTCACCGTCTGGCCGCCATGGCTAGAAGACAATTTGCCCCTGATAATTTGATTGCATGGGGACAGCGCATGCATGTTGATTGGGCCGATCCGCTACCTGAAGTTGATCCCAAAATTATGACTAAGGTAAGAAATGCACAGTTTACCATCTATAACCTCAAAGTAATCCAACTAAGTACCGTCCTTGTCTCTGTCTCAAGTTCAGTCTTAATTTTAGGCTCAAAAAAAGTTCAATCTATATGTTTCCCTAAAAGTAACTATAAATTTCACTTCCTTGTCTAAGTTTCCGAATTTCAACTTTTAGGACTGAGGTAAGAGTTATTTATTATACAAAAAGAATCACATTTGTAGAAATTGTATGCAAATCATGAAATTACTTTCTGATTGAGGCAAAGACTGGGAAATGATGTAGAATGTGTGGAGCATCAATAATACAAATTATTTTGGTTTCTTGTGACTTTTATGGAATGATTGGGCACCTTATAGGATAGGTATTGGAAAAGGTGGAAAATATTGCATTTTTACATTTTCCTGATATTTTTTGGAAATCTTGAAAACATCCCAAACCTTTAGTATACAAGAGACAACTTCCCCTATTTTAAGATAAACTCATCATCCAATAAGATGGTTAATTTATGTATTTTCTTTAGAACTGTAATGGTATTATTACAAATACAAATCAGGTATTAGGTATTATACAAATGAGGTTTGGACTGAAATTGCCTGAAAAATGTTTTATCAGATTTGACATCTGAGATAAGATATGTTATAAAAACTGGACCTGAAATATTCAGATTAGGTATATGAGACAGAAAATGATAATAAAAAATGAGAAGAACTAAACAATGAGAATTAAATGAAATTTTTTGACTTTCTACTTATCCATCTTCATACAGAAAATTCTGAAGGATGAAAGAAATAAATTGAGTTAAAAATAATCTCATTACAAAGATGTGCAGTTAATGCACATCTTTGCATCACTAAGTGATCATCTTCAAGAGGAAGATTGAACTCTGCCTCTTGAAGATGATCACTTGGTGATCGAAACACGTGTCGAGGTGTTTAAATAAGGTTTGGTGTTGGGATAATACTCCAGTAAAATTCATTCATATCCCTATTTAATACAATCCCAGCATAGTAATTTTGTTTGAACTGAAGGGATCGTAAATATTTGTTATGGAGTTGCACGAATATTTGGAGTGAAATGAATAGGAAAAAGTAATTAACTAAAGTTGGAAACCAGAACACAAATACAATGCATTCATGATTCAACACCAGACAGCTGTTTCGATCCGCTATAGATCTCATCAGTGGTTTCAGGCTGAACCTCGAATGCAAATGGTTGTTTAAGGAGTTTTTTTCCTGGTTTATATCTGAAAGTAACTTATACGCACAATCTAAGCATCTTTGTGAAAAGTTAATTTTGAACTTGATTACTTTCTTCCTGCCTTCAAAAGTTTCCCACATTACGCAATGAGACTGAAGAGTTTTCAATGGAATTGGGAGAAATGGACAAGCCAGTCGCCTCTCAAGCAGACAAAAAATGATATGCAATATCTAAATATATTCGAAAAGACATAATTTGGAAGTTATTTTTTTTAATCCCTCATTTGGAGGTTTCATCCATTTTTTGTATAAAGATGGAAAAGTAGAAACTCAAAAACCTTTTTATACCAAAAACTAATCTCTCCTGAAAAATATACCCCTTTCAGTTTGAAATTTAATTAATATACAAACAGGAAAAATGGAAATGAAGATAAATTATGGTAAAATATGAAAAAATAGTTCAAACCTAGCAACCTTTTTTATTAGTATCTATATCATAGATATTTTACTTTTCGTTTAATTCATCTCCTTTTCTGGCCACTATAGTTTGTTTTCAGTGTCACTGTCAAGTAAACAAAAATATGCTCCTTAAGACTTTAATTTTGCTTTTGAAATTACATGAACATGTCTCCAAAATGTAAGTATATCATCATATGTCAAATCCTCTTGCCATCTAGGACATCATACCGTGTGGAGGTAAATAATCCCCACCCTCTTAGCAGTTTTATTTTCGTTTTAAGAATATTCAAAGAAATATTGAATATAAGTTCAACAAAAAATGTAATAAAAACTCCAAAGTCCAAAATGTCTCTCTACAAATTTATTTCTTATATTATGAAATGTTCCTGAGATTAAAATGAACTGAGGTTGTTAACGTTGAGCTAGTGGAACCCTTGGGTACAAAATTATGAAAATGAAAAATTCAAAGTGGTTCTACCAGCATAACTTGTAAACGTGGTCTTGCTGAACTTTTATCTATGATATTTGCAACTTGCTGCTTAGTTGGAATTTGCTGAATCATTTCAACCCCTCCATAACATTTTCATGAATATGTGTTTAATTACTATAGAACAGGAACTTGTTTCAGATTTTGCTGAACAATTTTGTTCATCAAATTAGTTCTTTAGTTGGCTCCACTGGCTGCTACAATCCCAGCTTCAATGATGGATGTTGCAACCATAGCACGCCTCAAACTTGAGATACTACTTTTTTGGAATGGCGTATGACCACTCCAAAACCTAAATTGCTAAATCTGAAAACTTCTTCTTCTATACATCTTTCATAGTTGGATTCATAACAGAACTACACACACCGGCTTTGTTCCATAATATTAGATACAGCAGTGCCCTGCCTATCTACATGAAAAGTTGATATGTTGAAATCCAAAAGTTTATGCTTGACTTATCGACAGATCGAATCCATGCTAAATGTTTGAATAATAAATAATCTGACTTCGTATCCTTATACTGCTAGCCTGCCTTTAATATCTTTCAACACTGATTTATTTTAACGAACCTATTTCAGTATTTATTCTGCATTTGGCTCCTCCCTTATTTTCAACTACCTCTTCGAATGTTTAACGGTTTAACATACTGACTAGATATCTACTTGCCACATTTGACCTAGACGTCAAACCTTTCAGGTGGTCCCAACGAACTTTCTTTAAGTTTTCTCTTGGAGTGAAATTACATTTTCATTGTGATAACTTCCTTCTTCTGTTACTGTATAACTAACTGGCTCTTTTTATATATTCAGTACCATTCATTTCCTTCGTATGCTATTAGACAGACTGGCAATATAGGAAAAACAAACCGAAACAATAATTCTGAGGTGTTTAATTCTTGTCGTCGACAGATGATTTTGCAGTACTTTTGGAATGTATATAGCGACGTTCATTGCGGGTGGAATGGCAATATGGCTGGATTCTAATACTTGGAAAGTTCTAGCCATCTTAACCACCCAGCATTTGTACGTAGGCAGTGAGCTTTGCCATGGATGCAGAGTTCATACAAGTCTTCTTCAACTGTTACATTTATACCCAATTTGTTTTACATCAAATTTTCTATATGATGTTTTTCCAACTCTCATGATAAAATTGAAGATGGAAATGATCTATAATAGTTATATTTACTTAAGCTCTTATGACTTCTACTCACACCTTACAGTGCTTGCACTTCGTATACCTATAATAGCCAATATTTTCTAGGAGTTAATTTGAACAAATTCATATAATTTCTATCATTTGCTGCTATAAATAATTGTTTCTAGGAATTATTTGAACATACCATATGCCTTTTAATGTTATTTGTTGCCTCTGATATGACCTGGTATATTTTTCAACTACATTTATACTCTCTTTCACAGTAATTTTATTGAACTAGAAAACTGACAAACATATCTGAACACACTTTTTCATATAAAGACGTCACATTATTTCACCCAGTGTCCTTCTCCTTTGCAATAACTACAGATACTGTCCTGTGTGCACTTTTTCTTGTATATAAGAGCTTTTTTCCTATTTGATTGGAATTTTTGCCAGTAGCAATAGATGCCTCTGATGCATCCTTTTTTCTATATCTGTCTGTGATAAAATGTTCTTCATATATGTTGAACGGTTTGAACGTTTTGGGTAATATATTAATTATTTTACAAACTACCATCAAATCTGGCAATTGGGGTTGATTCTCAGTTTGAAATCCACTATCGAGTCAACTCCAGAAGCTCTGTAACTTAGCTATGTATGTAGGGACATCAGGTCCATGTGAAAATATCTGATCTTTCAATGTTGCTTCCGACTGCAACATGTCATAGTTTTTAATGAATTTACTCAAATAATCACTAATATCACTACACTACAAATTATCACTTCACTAAATCATAAGTTGCCTCAGCTTTATAATTAAAAAAAAAATCAACTGGTGACACTTCAACTCATCTTAATAAGTTTGAAACCTTTCGGTTCAATGTGTTCACTGTAAAGGTGTTGAGTCACATAACGAAATAGAGAAATTGTAGGTGCTCCCTTCCTGAGATAGGGACTACGATAGTGTTTCTAATCCTTTCCATGCAAACATTCATATTGTTCTGCTTATTTTTCTGTTTCTTCATTTCACCCAAATCACTACTATTTTTCAATGAACAAATCCAAACATGTGTATCTTGTCCCATGTTATATTGAAAAAACTTTTGTACTATACAATTTTTTTTTATATCCTTGGAATGCCAACTACTTTTTAGCGTCTTTCCTATTGAGTGTTCTATGACTGCATTTCAGCAATTAGGGATGAATGTGAATGCCATTTTCCACTCACACGTTCCACCATCTGCCTATCTGATCCAAGATTTCTTTTCTACATTTTCCCCCTTAATAATTTCTACAGATTATATGTTTATATTTAGTTCCAAATGTGTCATAATTTCAAAATTGTAGAAAATTAAATGATTTTAAAATATTAAATTTATAAGGGAATAACTTTTCGTGTAAAAAAGGTGTTTAACTTTCTACATTTCTGTTGTATAAAAATGTGAGGAACTTGTAAATAAACTTTTTACAAAGATGTATAGATCATGCACAGAAGTTTTTTTCAGGTACGGACTAAAAAAAAACCCATTTATAATAACTATTTTCAAACATATGAACATTGAATTACACGAACAACTTTTTCTAATTGAGCCAATTCGATTAGAAATGGAAACAGATATAATTCATAATTCAAAAAATAATATTATCTATCATCCCTACTTGTTTTGGGTCGAAAACACTTTTCTTCAACTCATCAGCAACAATGTCAACTATCAATTC